ATAGTCTAGTTATAGTCTATTTATAGTCTAGTCATAGTCTAGTTATAGTCTAGTTATAGTCTAGTTATAGTCTAGTCATAATCTAGTCATAGTCTAGTCATAGTCTAGTCATAGTCTAGTCATAGTCTAGTCATAGTCTAGTCATAGTCTAGTCATAGTCTAGTCATAGTCTAGTAGTCTAGTCATAGTAGTCATAGTCTAGTCATAGTCTAGTCATAGTCTAGTCATAGTCTAGTCATAGTCTAGTCATAGTCTAGTATAGTCATAGTAGTCATAGTCTAGTCATAGTCTAGTCATAGTCTAGTCATAGTCTAGTCATAGTCTAGTCATAGTCTAGTCATAGTCTAGTCATAGTCTAGTCATAGTCTAGTCATAGTCTAGTCATAGTCTAGTCAAGTCTAGTCATAGTCTAGTCATAGTCTAGTCATAGTCTAGTCATAGTCTAGTCATAGTCTAGTCATAGTCTAGTCATAGTCTAGTCATAGTCTAGTCATAGTCTAGTAGTCAGTCTAGTCATAGTCTAGTCATAGTCTAGTCATAGTCTAGTCATAGTCTAGTCATAGTCTAGTCATAGTCTAGTCATAGTCTAGTCATAGTCTAGTCATAGTCTAGTCATAGTCTAGTCATAGTCTAGTCATAGTCTAGTCTAGTCATAGTTAGTCATAAGTCTAGTCATAGTCTAGTCATAGGTCTATTTCTAGTCTAGTCCATTCGTCTAGTAGCTTAGTCTAGTTAGCATAGTCTAGTCATAGTCTAGTTCATAGTCTAGTCATAGTCTAGTTCATATAGTCTAGTCATCGTCTAGTCATAGTCTAGTCATTAGTCTAGGTCATAGTCTAGTCATTAGTCTAGTCATAAGGTCTAAGTCATAGTCTAGTCATAGTCTAGTATAGTCTAGTCATAGTCTAGTCAAGTCTTGTCATAGCCTAGTCGTAGACTATGATATTCAAAGACATTTCATATATTCCTGTCTATTCATATCAAGTCATAATCCAGTCTAATCATTGTCTGATAATAGCATTTATACATATATTTCAAACAATTCTTCTAGTTGTTGCGCATTTTTCTGTCTCTTCTATAAAAACGAGTCATGACTTTTTTATTCAAATGTGCACGAAACAAACACTTTCCTCTTTTTTCTCATCCTTTCAACAACCAGCAAAACTAAGAATACCCGTTTCTCTCTCTCACATCTAGATATTGTCAGCATGTTGTTACGATGTTTGTATTGCCATAAAATGGCACGTGTCCCAATGTAACTAGAATTTTTTTAAGGAAAAACTGTACTAGGCCTAAGTACATACAAGTTAAGAAATATAAGACAAAAAAATAGCTTACCGAAAAAACAACAAATTAAGCATAATACGTGCCTCAGAAAAAATATTGTTTTTAGCAAGAAAAAAATATTTTTTTGAAAAATACATAACATGTAAACCAAATACATTTTCTCAGCTAATGAAGTAAACAATTGCGTAAACCAGTAAACGATTTATAAACAACAGGTGAACAATCAAATGAATTTGGAAACAAACAAAAAATTAACCTCATAATCGGGTGCAAAGACGTCAAATACTTTAAAGGAGGTATTAGTAAAAGAGCAATTAAAGATATTAGTTGTGTTTGTAATACACAGTACTTATGTCTCCATTACCGTGACAATTACGAAATTCGGAAATAGGATTAAATTTTTAAATAATTTTAAAATCTTTAAAATTGTTTATTGAGGAATACAAAATTATGCAACTCACGAAGTAAATAAGTACTAAACAGAATATAGACTATGACTAGACTATGACTAGACTATGACTAGACTATGACTAGACTATGACTAGACTATGACTAGACTATGACTAGACTATGACTAGACTATGACTAGACTATGACTAGACTATGACTAGACTATGACTAGACTATGACTAGACTATGACTAGACTATGACTAGACTATGAAGACTAGACTAGACTAGACTAGACTATGACTGACTATGACTATGACTAGACTATGACTAGACTATGACTAGACTATGACTAGACTATGACTAGACTATGACTAGACTATGACTAGACTATGACTAGACTATGACTAGACTATGACTAGACTATGACTAGACTATGACTAGACTATGACTAGACTATGACTAGACTATGACTAGACTATGACTAGACTATGACTAGACTAGACTAGACTATGACTAGAATGACTAGACTATGACTAGACTATGACTAGACTATGACTAGACTATGACTAGACTATGACTAGACTATGACTAGACTATGACTAGACTATGACTAGACTGACTAGACTATGACTAGACTATGACTAGACTATGACTAGACTATGACTAGACTATGACTAGACTATGACTAGACTATGACTAGACTATGACTAGACTAGACTAGACTATGACTAGACTGACTAGACTATGACTAGACTATGACTAGACTATGACTAGACTATGACTAGACTATGACTAGACTATGACTAGACTATGACTAGACTATGACTAGACTATGACTAGACTATGACTAGACTATGACTAGACTATGACTAGACTATGACTAGACTATGACTAGACTAGATGACTATAGACTATATGACTAGACTATGACTAGACTATGACTAGACTATGACTAGACTATGACTAGACTATGACTAGACTATGACTAGACTATGACTAGACTATGACTAGACTATGACTAGACTATGACTAGACTATGACTAGACTATGACTAGACTATGACTAGACTATGACTAGACTATGACTAGACTATGACTAGACTATGACTAGACTATGACTAGACTATGACTAGACTATGACTAGACTATGACTAGACTATGACTAGACTATGACTAGACTATGACTAGACTATGACTAGACTATGACTAGACTATGACTAGACTATGACTAGACTATGACTAGACTATGACTAGATATGACTAGACTATGACTAGACTATGACTAGACTATGACTAGACTATAAATTAGACCATAAACTAGACCATAAACTAGACCATAAACTAGACTATAAGCTAGACTATAAGCTAGACTATAAACTAGACTATAACCTAGACTATAAACTAGACTATAAACTAGACTATAAACTAGATATAAACTAGACTATAAACTAGACTATAAACTAGACTAAAACTAGACTATAACTAGACTATAAACTAGACTATAAACTAGACTATAAACTAGACTATAAACTAGACTATAACTAGACTATAAATAGACTATAAACTAGACTATAAACTAGACTATAAACTAGACTATAAACTGGACTATAATCTAGACTATAAACTAGACTATAAACTAGACTATAAACTAGACTATAAACTAGACTATAAACTAGACTATAAACTAGACTATAAACTAGACTATAAACTATACTATAAACTAGACTATAAACTAGACTTAAACTAGACTATAAACTAGACTTTAAACTAGACTATAAACTAGACTATTGTTGTATTCATTTTCAAAGTTATTAATTTATGCTTGATGTAGAGCCATCTATGGTCTAAATTATGAACTATTTGTAAAAAAAGCTTGAAGCTTTAATATTAAGCTTTTACAAAAGTCATGTTAATTAAATGGTTTATACATAAACAAAATATTTATAGAAGATTTATAAAAATTATTTTACTCATTTAATTTGTCAAGAGAATTTCAAATAGTTTTATAAATTTTGTTTATATTTGAAAATAAGTATTTACTTTAGATGCGTTAAATATGTTTTAGTTTATTTGGTAAATATGTTTAGTTTAAATGTGTGTTAAATACTTTAACAATTTGTTCAACATTTCCTGCAACAATGTGTCTTCAGCATTTTCTGCATATCATTCTATATTTTATGTAGCTTCCATTACATTGACTTTTAAAGACGGAAATGTCTTACAACATGTTTTGCATAAATTGCAATAGAATTTTCTTGTTTAAGCTTTACTTTCCTTCGTTTTTTTTTTTTTTTTTTTTTTTTTTTGTATTTTTTCCTTTAGCATTTTTCATGGCATCTTAAGCAATTCAATGTGTAACAATAAAACTTAAATTGCTTACAATAATATAAAAAGAATTGCATTTTTCCGAGAGGGAGATAGAGGGAAAAAATACAGAATTTTTCTGTTGAAATTTGTAACAAGAATATTTTAACGACATTGTCAATTGGCTTGGCAAATGTGTTTATGGATATAAAATATGTCTGTAACGATTTGAAATAATAGTGAAAAGAATGTAGAATTATAGAGATTACAAATGTTTGCAAAAAGGATTTCATGTGTTAAAGGATAATATGTAAAGGATTTAGAATATCATTTATTGATTTTCTTTAAAAGAACTTCGATATCTAAAAATTTTTAAAGTTACCAAATATATTTAAAAACAAATATGCTAATACGTATGATTAACATTTAGTTTTCACTTAATATTAAATATCACTCATACGCCTTTTATTCTCTTTGTTTTAATATGTCAAGGTTTAACTAGTCATCAAAACTGTTTGTTGGTTTTGACACCACAAACCTTGAACTAATTTTCGAAACAAAGACATGCAAAAACATGCACTAAATTTATGACGTTTTTATAAAGAGTCAAACAAAAAAGAACAATACAATAGAGAGTAAAAGTAACATTTTCAAACAACCACAAAAACCCATTTTGTGGTAAAAATTCATGCCTGTTGATGAATTCACTGACCAAAGTAATATTCCAGAGATATTTTATTTTTTTTTTTTTTTTTTTTTTGTATTGTAATCATTTCATTCATATATTTTATGGTCAACTAAAACATTTTTCATGTCCATTTCATTTCTACATATTATTTATACTCTATACACTTTACAGTATTCCAGCGCCCTAACAGATCTTTATCATTTAGTTAATTGTTTGTTGCCTGTAAAAACAAAAACTAAACATTTCTAAACGAATCAAATGTATCGATTTCATGGTTTGTCTTTTAAATGAAAACTACACAATTATTAGTTGTATTTATTATTTCCACAGCCGTTGTTTGTATTTTTCATCAAAAGAGCAAAATAGAAAAATAATTAAAAAAAAGATAATATTTTATACAATTGGCAAAATGTAGTTTATATTTACAAAAACTTTAATTAAGCATAATTTTTTTACTAAATTTGTTAAAAATAAATTAAAAAACTATTTTCACAATCATGGCCATGCTGTGGATGGAAACCTACTTTTTGTACTGTTCTGTGCGTTTAGGTGTTATGGCCATTTCTATTTTGGCATTCGTAAGTAAATAATTGTTAAAAAAATCAATATATTATGGAAATGATTAATCAATTACTATAAATGAAAATTTGCAACTGAACTAATTAGATTCGAACCATAACTGAACTAGAAATGAATTAGAACTGAACTAGAACTGAACTAGAACTGAACTAGAACTGAACTAGAACTGAACTAGAACTGAACTAGAACTGAACTAGAACTGAACTAGAACTGAACTAGAACTGAACTAGAACTGAACTAGAACTGAACTAGAACTGAACTAGAACTGAACTAGAACTGAACTAGAACTGAACTAGAACTGAACTAGAACTGAACTAGAACTGAACTAGAACTGAACTAGAACTGAACTAGAACTGAACTAGAACTGAACTAGAACTGAACTAGAACTGAACTAGAACTGAACTAGAACTGAACTAGAACTGAACTAGAACTGAACTAGAACTGAACTAGAACTGAACTACTGAACTAGAACTGAACTAGAACTGAACTAGAACTGAACTAGAACTGAACTAGAACTGAACTAGAACTGAACTAGAACTGAACTAGAACTGAACTAGAACTGAACTAGAACTGAACTAGAACTGAACTAGAACTGAACTAGAACTGAACTAGAACTGAACTAGAACTGAACTAGAACTGAACTAGAACTGAACTAGAACTGAACTAGAACTGAACTAGAACTGAACTAGAACTGAACTAGAACTGAACTAGAACTGAACTAGAACTGAACTAGAACTGAACTAGAACTGAACTAGAACTGAACTAGAACTGAACTAGAACAGAACTAGAACTGAACTAGAACTGAACTAGAACTGAACTAGACTGACTAGACTGAACTAGAACTGAACTAGAACTGAACTAGAACTGAACTAGAACTGAACTAGAACTGAACTAGAACTGAACTAGAACTGAACTAGAACTGGACTAGAACTGAACTAGAACTGAACTAGAACTGAACTAGAACTGAACTGAACTAGAACTGAACTGAACTAGAACTGAACTAGAACTGAACTAGAACTGAACTAGAACTGAACTAGAACTGAACTAGAACTGAACTAGAACTGAACTAGAACTGAACTAGAACTGAACTAGAACTGAACTAGAACTGAACTAGAACTGAACTAGAACTGAACTAGAACTGAACTAGAACTGAACTAGAACTGAACTAGAACTGAACTAGAACTGAACTAGAACTGAACTAGAACTGAACTAGAACTGAACTAGAACTGAACTAGAACTGAACTAGAACTGAACTAGAACTGAACTAGAACTGAACTAGAACTGAACTAGAACTGAACTAGAACTGAACTAGAACTGAACTAGAACTGAACTAGAACTGAACTAGAACTGAACTAGAACTGAACTAGAACTGAACTAGAACTGAACTAGAACTGAACTAGAACTGAACTAGAACTGAACTAGAACTGAACTAGAACTGAACTAGAACTGAACTAGAACTGAACTGAACTAGAACTGAACTAGAACTGAACTAGAACTGAACTAGAACTGAACTAGAACTGAACTAGAACTGAACTAGAACTGAACTAGAACTGAACTAGAACTGAACTAGAACTGAACTAGAACTGAACTAGAACTGAACTAGAACTGAACTAGAACTGAACTAGAACTGAACTAGAACTGAACTAGAACTGAACTAGAACTGAACTAGAACTGAACTAGAACTGAACTAGAACTGAACTAGAACTGAACTAGAACTGAACTAGAACTGAACTAGAACTGAACTAGAACTGAACTAGAACTGAACTAGAACTGAACTAGAACTGAACTAGAACTGAACTAGAACTGAACTAGAACTGAACTAGAACTGAACTAGAACTGAACTAGAACTGAACTAGAACTGAACTAGAACTGAACTAGAACTGAACTAGAACTGAACTAGAACTGAACTATGAACTAGAACTGAACTAGAACTGAACTAGAACTGAACTAGAACTGAACTAGAACTGAACTAGAACTGAACTAGAACTGAACTAGAACTGAACTAGAACTGAACTAGAACTGAACTTGAACTGAACTAGAACTGAACTAGAACTGAACTAGAACTGAACTAGAACTGAACTAGAACTGAACTAGAACTGAACTAGAACTGAACTAGAACTGAACTAGAACTGAACTAGAACTGAACTAGAACTGAACTAGAACTGAACTAGAACTGAACTAGAACTGAACTAGAACTGAACTAGAACTGAACTAGAACTGAACTAGAACTAGAACTGAACTAGAACTGAACTAGAACTGAACTAGAACTGAACTAGAACTGAACTAGAACTGAACTAGAACTGAACTAGAACTGAACTAGAACTGAACTAGAACTGAACTAGAACTGAACTAGAACTGAACTAGAACTGAACTAGAACTGAACTAGAACTGAACTAGAACTGAACTAGAACTGAACTAGAACTGAACTAGACTGAACTAGAACTGAACTAGAACTGAACTAGAACTGACTAGACTGAACTAGAACTGAACTAGAACTGAACTAGAACTGAACTAGAACTGAACTAGAACTGAACTAGAACTGAACTAGAACTGAACTAGAACTGAACTAGAACTGAACTAGAACTGAACTAGAAACTGAACTAGAACTGAAAAGAACTGAACTAGAACTAAACTAGAACTGAACTAGAACTGAACTAGAACTGAACTAGAACTGAACTAGAACTGAACTAGAACTGAACTAGAACTGAACTAGAACTGAACTAGAACTGAACTAGAACTGAACTAGAACTGAACTAGAACTGAACTAGAATGAACTAGAAAACTGAACTAGAACTGAACTAGAACTGAACTAGAACTGAACTAGAACTGAACTAGAACTGAACTAGAACTGAACTAAAACTAAACTAGAACTGAACTAGAACTGAAACCTTAAATTAATTTTCAATCATTTCAAAAAAAATCCTATTCCTTTCAGATTTCTCTTTTCATACCATCAATATTATTCTTTGTCATGGGCGCAGCAGTATTGGAACCAATTTTAAAACTTTTTACCGACGATGAACACTTTAGTAAACATCCAATTGTTTTAGCATTTACTGATAAAGTAGAAATGGTAAGCAAAACTTTTGTGTCAATTAAAAATAATTATTCATCATCGAGAAATGAGCCATTGATTAAGAGTGAAATTAATAATTACCTGCATAATTTTTATTAACAATTTTAAATTGTTCCCGTCATTTTAGATGCCAACAAGCTGATGGTACTATTTCAATTATATTTCTTTGCACATATGACGGCAAGTGTTTTAGCATTTTACGGCGCGTTTAAAGGTATTGTATTAATTTACGTTATGACTGGAAAATATGTATTTTATTAGCTAAATGAAAACAACATCTGTTTATGTAACTAAAATATATTGAGTGTAAATAGAGACAACTATTGACAGCTTTTACAAGACTAGAGCAGAACTAGAACAGAACTAGAACAGAACTAGAACAGAACTAGAACAGAACTAGAACAGAACTAGAACAGAACTAGAACAGAACTAGAACAGAACTAGAACAGAACTAGAACAGAACTAGAACAGAACTAGAACAGAACTTGAACAGAACTAGAACAGAACTAGAACAGAACTAGAACAGAACTAGAACAGAACTAGAACAGAACTAGAACAGAACTAGAACAGAACTAGAACAGAACTAGAACAGAACTAGAACAGAACTAGAACAGAACTAGAACAGAACTAGAACAGAACTAGAACAGAACTAGAACAGAACTAGAACAGAACTAGAACAGAACTAGAACAGAACTAGAACAGAACTAGAACAGAACTAGAACAGAACTAGAACAGAACTAGAACAGAACTAGAACAGAACTAGAACAGAACTAGAACAGAACTAAAACAGAACTAGAACAGAACTAGAACAGAACTAGAACAGAACTAGAACAGAACTAGAACAGAACTAGAACAGAACTAGAACAGAACTAGAACAGAACTAGAACAGAACTAGAACAGAACTAGAACAGAACTAGAACAGAACTAGAACAGAACTAGAGCAGAACTAGAGCAGAACTAGAACAGAACTAGAACAGAACTAGAACAGAACTAGAACAGAACTAGAACAGAACTAGAACAGAACTAGAACAGAACTAGAACAGAACTAGAACAGAACTAGAACAGAACTAGAACAGAACTAGAACAGAACTAGAACAGAACTAGAACAGAACTAGAACAGAACTAGAACAGAACTAGAACAGAACTAGAACAGAACTAGAACAGAACTAGAACAGAACTAGAACAGAACTAGAACAGAACTAGAACAGAACTAGAACAGAACTAGAACTAGAACAGAACTAGAACAGAACTAGAACAGAACTAGAACAGAACTAGAACAGAACTAGAACAGAACTAGAACAGAACTAGAACAGAACTAGAACAGAACTAGAACAGAACTAGAACAGAACTAGAACAGAACTAGAACAGAACTAGAACAGAACTAGAACAGAACTAGAACAGAACTAGAACAGAACTAGAACAGAACTAGAACAGAACTAGAACAGAACTAGAACAGAACTAGAACAGAACTAGAACAGAACTAGAACAGAACTAGAACAGAACTAGAACAGAACTAGAACAGAACTAGAACAGAACTAGAACAGAACTAGAACAGAACTAGAACAGAACTAGAACAGAACTAGAACAGAACTAGAACAGAACTAGAACAGAACTAGAACAGAACTAGAACAGAACTAGAACAGAACTAGAACAGAACTAGAACAGAACTAGAACAGAACTAGAACAGAACTAGAACAGAACTAGAACAGAACTAGAACAGAACTAGAACAGAACTAGAACAGAACTAGAACAGAACTAAAACAGAACTAGAACAGAACTAGAACAGAACTAGAACAGAAAAACTAGAACAGAACTAGAACAGAACTAGAACAGAACTAGAACAGAACTAGAACAGAACTAGAACAGAACTAGAACAGAACTAGAACAGAACTAGAACAGAACTGGAACAGAACAGAACAGAACTAAAAAAGAACTAGATCGTAAATAGAACTAATTTTCAATGTTTCTTTGCAGCTTAAAAAGTACTTCCTTTTGCCGTTGATCTTTTTTGAATTCTGTCGCGTTATCTATTGTCTGGCTTGTCATATTTTACTTATGACAGTTTCTAAAAGTCGTCTAAATCTTGGTATGTTAATAACCACCACATTGGCTGGAGGTTTCCTAATACGTAAGTCGTATTTTCTTAGCATTAATAGTTTTATATGTTTTATACAAATATTATTTATTCAAGTTTTTCTTGGCTACAATTGGGCCACCTGTGTGGCTTTATATCAAATCATCACCCTTATTAATAGTGAACGTTATAAGGCCTTATATGGAGATGATCCCTTCAAGCCGCTAATACCCAAAACCTATAATCCTATGGTTACCGAAAATGTCCATGTTCTAATAACACCCAATAGTCATGATATTGATGAACAGAAAAAACGTAATGCTTTATTAAATGCCGCTAACCGAAACGTCAACAACAGCCGCAACCCATAATTTCGGTGTTGCCAATAGATTATTTGGAAAATAATTTAAATTCCAATAGGAATAATGTAAAATGGAAAGAAAGTCAATGGCCTACTACTACGGTGCAAACACCACCAGAATCACAACGTTATCCGCCGCCCACAGGTTATAATACCTCTCAAAGACGTAATGAAAATAGCTTCAAAGTTAATTATAATAATTGGCAATGGTCGGAATTGGCACCGGCGGTATCAGCTAGAAATAAGAAAAATATTTATATGGGTTCAAGATGGAATTATTAAAGAGAGAGAGAGAGAGGGAAAGATGATTTAGTTAGATTTTATAATACATACTTATTTAATAAAGGAGTTCATGTAATGCCCAACTTTTTCGTTGTTTATCTGTTTACTAATAAAATTCTATAAATTACATTGTTTACCTTGGGTAAATAATTACAATTTTTATTCTTCTACATTTGTTTTAAGAATCATTATTCAGTATTCTTCTTTTCAATATTAAAACACAATTTTACCTATTGTTTACATAATGTAACAAATGATATTAATTTACACTTTTAATGTAAAATTTTAATTGTTAGCTAAATTCTCATATTATTTATTAATTTGCATTGTTTACACTTTATTTACATTATTCTACGCTCCTTCACTCTACCCTCCTACACATGGCATTCATTATTTTGACCATACAATACCTCATATTCGGGTATAATCTTAAAATGTATAATTCCATTCATTTCTTTTACATACATTTGGGTCCCATTCGATTTTGTTTTAGGCTTTTTAATACCGGGAGCATGTACCAGAAAAGCTGGATGTAAAACATGATATTCATAGTCCATCAAACACATGGCATAATTCTGTATACGCTTATCCGATTTACCCTCCCAGGTAACGCGTTCATCGAAAATCGGCTCATTGTTATCGCTTATATAGAATGGTTCCCAGTACTTAAATTTATCATAACGTTTACCCACTGTAAATACTTCTAATGACTCGCTGTTGCTGGCCTCCAGCCACTCTTTATGCTTCGGTACCAAATGACAATTCGAACAGATATATTTATGAAATGGTACCGCCATCGATGTATTTAACATTCTCTTCAAATCTGCCTTATTATCGGGTAGGGTGGCATTATATTGCACCTCAAAAACAGGCAGGACGAAAACTTTAGGTTTATCACCTTCCAAAACTGCCGTACGATTGTTGCCGACCATTTCCAGAAATTTTTCCACCAAACCTAAACTGGGATATAGTTCTATATCGCAGGCGAAAACAAAATATGTATTAGCTGCTTTACGCGCTATATTACGACCCACATTTATGGGATATGTTAGATTTTTTTTCGTCTTATACATTTCCAACCGATTAACATTTAGATAGGGTGCTTGCGGTTCACAATCGTAGGCCCATTCTAAGGCCTCATCTTCATTTTTGGCTATAAATCTGGGAAGATGATTCTGGGGAAGTACATATGAAATGTGACATAGTCGTTTATCATTTCACTTTCGGCAAACAATTGAGAACGTGTAATATGGAGTTCCATGGTGGCAGTGTAATCATCGCGGGAGCATAAAGGGCAAAACTAACGGGACCGGCCCAACGGCAAAAGCGAAGATAGGGTGCTAGACTATAGTATAGACTAGACTATCGGACTAGACTATAGGACTAGAGTATGGACTACGACTATGGGACTAGACTATGGACTAGACTATCAGACTGACTATAGACCAGACTATAGACTAGACTATAGACTAGACTATTACTAGATTTAACTAACTAAGACTAGACTATAGACTATATTATAGACTAATTAGACTATACGATAGACTAGACTATAGACTAGACTATAGACTAGACTATAGACCTATACTATAGAAGACTATAGACTAGACTACAGACTGGACTATAGACTAGACTATAGACTAGACTATAGACTAGACTATAGACTAGACTATAGACTAGACTATAGACTAGACTATAGACTAGACTATAGACTAGACTATAGACTAGACTATAGACTAGACTATAGACTAGACTATAGACTAGACTATAGACTAGACTATAGACTAGACTATAGACTAGACTATAGACTAGACTATAGACTAGACTATAGACTAGACTATAGACTAGACTATAGACTAGACTAGACTAGACTATAGACTAGACTATAGACTAGACTATAGACTAGACTATAGACTAGACTATAGACTAGACTATAGACTAGACTATAGACTAGACTATAGACTAGACTATAGACTAGACTATGACTAGACTATAGACTAGACTATAGACTAGACTATAGACTAGACTATAGACTAGACTATAGACTAGATATAGACTAGACTATAGAAGACTAGAAGACTATAGACTAGACTAGACTAAGACTAGACTATAGACTAGACTATAGACTAGACTATAGACTAGACTATAGACTAGACTATAGACTGACTAGACTAGACTATAGACTAGACTATAGACTAGACTATAGACTAGACTATAGACTAGACTCTAGACTAGGACTATAGGACTAGACTATAGACTTAGACTATAGACCTAGACTATAGACTAGACTATAGACTAGACTATAGACTAGACTATAGTAATAGACTATAGACTAGACTATAGACTAGACTATAGACTAGACTAAGACTAGACTATAGACTAGACTATAGACTAGACTATAGACTAGACTATAGACTAGACTATAGACTAGACTATAGACTAGACTATAGACTAGACTATAGACTAGACCTATAGACTAGACTATAGACTAGACTATAGACTAGACCTATAGACTAGACTATAGACTAGACTATAGACTAGACTATAGACTAGACTATAGACTAGACTATAGACTAGACTATAGACTAGACTATAGACTAGACTATAGACTAGACTATAGACTAGACTATAGACTAGACTATAGACTAGACTAACTAGACTATAGACTAGACTATAGACTAGACTATAGACTAGACTATAGACTAGACTATAGACTAGACTATAGACTAGACTATAGACTAGACTATAGACTAGACTATAGACTAGACTATAGACTAGACTATAGACTAGACTATAGACTAGACTATAGACTAGACTATAGACTAGACTATAGACTAGACTATAGACTAGACTATAGACTAGACTATAGACTAGACTATAGACTAGACTATAGACTAGACTATAGACTAGACTATAGACTAGACTATAGACTAGACTATAGACTAGACTATAGACTAGACTATAGACTAGACTATAGACTAGACTATAGACTAGACTATAGACTAGACTATAGACTAGACTATAGACTAGACTATAGACTAGACTATAGACTAGACTATAGACTAGACTATAGACTAGACTATAGACTAGACTATAGACTAGACTATAGACTAGACTATAGACTAGACTATAGACTAGACTATGATAGACTATAGACTAGACTATAGACTAGACTATAGACTAGACTATAGACTAGACTATAGACTAGACTATAGACTAGACTATAGACTAGACTATAGACTAGACTACAGACTAGACTATAGACTAGACTATAAGCTAGACTCTACTTTAATTAAATGTCCTCATTATTCATAACAAATTTTCTTACCGCTTCACAACTGTTGGCAAATGCTGCATAAACGTATAATCACCATGAGTTGTGTAAGTAATCGATTCGCCACAACCTATTTCCATACTACGACGACCACGTATATAATTTTTGATCAACCAATATTGACCATAATCTAACTTTTCCATGTGCAACGGAGCATCAAGACAATTTAAGATATTTTTCAGTTTGATTTTTAAAGGCAACTCAGTGGTTATGAGCTTATTAGTGGCCTGATATGCCTCTTTTATATCTGTTTTATCAGGTATTATCACTGCCTGAGACTGATGCAGTTTAAGGTGGGGTGGAGTGATTCGCGCACTTATATAATTATTTCTTGATTTTTGGTATGCTAGCATTAAGACTACACAAAATAATGCTATTAACGTCATGAAGCTAAAAATCTCTAGATGTTTGCGCATCTGGCGGACTGACATTTTGTATTTGTTTTTAGCGATATACTGATAAGTTTTACAATAAAATTTAGAGCAAATTTTTATAAAATTAAAAAAAACTGTTTAATTTATTTTATTGATTATTTTACATTTTTATGAGTTTTTTTCCGCTATTTTAGTTACGTTTCAAATAAAGTTCGATTTTCAACTAACTTTAAAGTTATCATTGCTCTACATTATTTTCTAAACATTCGCAATTGTTTAAATAATATGTCCAATACTTTAGTTATTATTTAACAAATAATGAGTGCAGAAATGAAGGTAACTAACTCCATTGCCTTTTTCAAATACGAAAAAATTTTATTCATATTTTAGTTTTAAAATAGGTATACAAATTTAAATTAAATAATTTTTTCTTAATAGTTAAAAAAATACCATAGATTGCTGCTGTTTACTTTAGGTAAACAATAAAAATTCTTAGTTTCTTTTATAAGATTTATGAGTCATTACTTAAAACAAGTATTTTCAAACTTAAAACTAAGTTTTAGCTATTGTTTACATTATGTAAAAGTAAGGTAAACTATACTTTATTAACAGGTAATATATATATTTTCTTAATTTCTAGTGGTAAACAAATTGTTTACATTTTGTACACTTCATTTACATGAGGTAAAATATTAAGTATAGGTACCAATGAAAATTCTTTACTGTCATTAATTTCTTCTATTATTTTTATATTTCTTTAAAATTTAAATTAATTACATATTTTTTACATTGTTTACTTAAGGTAAAGAATTGTATGTAATCACTTTCTTATGTAAAATTTGTATTATTACATTATTTCCAGATTACTTCAATATTTTACATTGTTTACACTTTGTTTACATCATGTAAACAATTAAAATTGTTCATTTTCAATTGAAAAAATTATTTTTCAAACATGTTAAAATATTTAGTCATATTTATAAATTGTTCACATGATGTAAATTACTGTGTAAACAAGGTAAACTTGTAATCTCTTTTGGAAAAAGCTTTAAGCGATTAATTTACATTGAATAAATATTCAATAAATCATAAATTTTACAAAATTTACATTGTGTAAATAATGTAGATTAGTATTTTACATTTTTAACGTTAAGTAAGGGATCGCAAATTAACTCTAAAATGATTTTATTTAATGTTTAATGATATTTTTTATCAAAATTACAATAAAATACATTGTTTACATAAATTTTATCTTATGTATACAACACAAAATTTCTTTAGAAATCTTTGGCGTCTTATAATTACGACTTTAAATTACTTTTTTAATGTAAAAATTAAATTTTTAGATAGGTTTAATTTATTAATTTACATTGTTTACACTTTATATACTTAAAATACATTGTTTACATAGTTACCATTCCTAATGTAAGCAATACAAAATCACTTTGTATAACTAAAACGTTAATCCCTTCATTAAATTAAAAAATTTTAATTGTTTACATGTTTTTTACAGCATTTACACTATGTAAAGAACAGTTAATTACAACCTGAAATTACTTTTTTAATATAAAATTTCAATTTTTAGATAATTTCTAATTTATCTAATGTAAACAATACAAAACAACATAAAAAACCTAAAGTCTAGGTTTGACTTCAATCTACATTGAAATATTAATTGCTTAAATGTTTTTTTAATTTATTTACATAATGTAAAGAATTAAAAATTGCTTTTTCAATTTAAAATTTAATTTTTTAGATAATTCCTAATATTATTTATTATTATACATTGTTTACACGTTATTTACATTATGTAAACAATAGAAAACATACTTTTTTTCTTAACAAATTGTTCTTTTAAAACATATTACAAAATTATCGCATATTCGTTCATTCTTTACATAAAGTAAATAATTGTGTAAAGATTGTAAAACCATATACAATGATAATTTATTTACATCATGTAAAATTGTGTAAACAATAACGTGTTGTACTAAAATAGGAATTTAAAAAGATTTATTTTAATATTATTTATTATATTAAATAGTTTACATTGTTTACACTGTGTAAAATATACAAAATTTTGTTTTAAAAAAGAACTTAATCGCTGACTTAATATGACTTCTTTTTACACTTTCCTTTAAGGTCCTCTCTACACATCACATCTTTTATTTTCACCATACAACACCAAATATTGTGGCATAATTTTATAAAATATAATTCTATTCATTTCTGCTGCATACTGCATCCTAGTTTGTGCCTCATTCGATTTTGATTTAAACCTTTTAATACCGGGAGCATGTACCAGAAAAGCTGGATGTAAAACATGATATTCATAGTCCATCAAACACATGGCATAATTTTGGATACGTTTATTCGATTGTCCCTCCCAGGTGACACGTTCATCGAATATTGGCTCTTTGTTATCGCTTATATAGAATGGCTCCCATTGCCTAAATTTATCATAGCGCTTACCCACCGTAAATACTACTAATGTCTCGCTGTAGTTTGCCTTAACCCACTCCTTTTGTTTCGGCACCAAATGACAATTCGAACAGACAAATTTATGGAATGGTACCGCCATCGAGTTATTTAACATCTCTTTTAACTCTTTCTTATTATCGGGTAAAGTGGCATTTTTTTGCACCTCAAAAACGGGCAGGACAAAAACTTTAGGTTTATCACCTTTTAAAATCGCCACAGGATTGTTTACAACCATTTCGAGAAACTTATCCACTAAACCCAAACTGGGATATAGTTCTATGTCGCAGGCGAAAATAAAATACGTATTAACTGTTTTGCGCGCAATATTACGACCCACATTTATGGGATATGTTAGATTTTTTATTGTCTTATACATTTCCGAACGATTAACATTTAGATAGGGTGCCTGCAGTTCGCAATCGTACGGCCATTGCAAGGCTTCATCTTCATTTTTAGCTATAAATCTGGGTAGATGATCCTTGGGAAAGTATATGTGGAATGTGACATAGTCACGTATAATTTCACTTTCGGGCAGACAATTAAGGACGTATAATATGGAGTCCATGGTGGCATCGTAATCATCACCGGGAGCATAAATGGCAAAACTAACGGGACCGGACCAACTGGAAAAAGGAAGAAAAGGCTTAAGAGAATTACGAAATTTAAAATTCTAATAGATTAAAGTATTTACTAGACTACAGACTAGACTAGACTATAGACTAGACTAGACTAGACTAGACTAGACTAGACTAGACTAGACTAGACTAGACTAGACCATAGACCATAGACCATAGACCATAGACCATAGACCATAGACCATAGACTATAGACCATAGACTATAGACTAGACTAGACTATAGACTAGACTAGACTATAGACTAGACTATAGACTAGACTATAGACTAGACTAGACTAGACTAGACTAGACTAGACTAGACTAGACTAGACTAGACTAGACTAGACTAGACTAGACTAGACTAGACTAGACTAGACTAGACTAGACTTGACTAGACTAGACTAGACTAGACTAGACTAGACTAGACTAGACTATAGACTAGACTAGACTAGACTAGACTAGACTAGACTAGACTAGACTAGACTAGACTAGACTATAGACTAGACTATAGACTAGACTATAGACTAGACTATAGACTAGACTATAGACTAGACTATAGACTAGACTATAGACTAGACTATAGACTAGACTATAGACTAGACTATAGACTAGACTATAGACTAGACTATAGACTAGACTATAGACTAGACTATAGACTAGACTATAGACTAGACTATAGACTAGACTATGGACTAGACTATAGACTAGACTATAGACTAGACTATAGACTAGACTATAGACTAGACTATAGACTAGACTATAGACTAGACTATAGACTAGACTATAGACTAGACTATAGACTAGACTATAGACTAGACTATAGACTAGACTATAGACTAGACTATAAAACTATAGACTAGACTATAGACTAGACTATAGACTAGACTATAGACTAGACTATAGACTACTATAGACTAGACTATAGACTAGACTATAGACTAGACTATAGACTAGACTATAGACTAGACTATAGACTAGACTATAGACTAGACTATAGACTAGACTATAGACTAGACTATAGACTAGACTATAGACTATAGACTAGACTATAGACTAGACTATAGACTAGACTATAGACTAGACTATAGACTAGACTATAGACTAGACTATAGACTAGACTATAGACTAGACTATAGACTAGACTATAGACTAGACTATAGACTAGACTATAGACTAGACTATAGACTAGACTATAGACTAGACTATAGACTAGACTATAGACTAGACTATAGACTAGACTATAGACTAGACTATAGACTAGACTATAGACTAGACTATAGACTAGACTATAGACTAGACTATAGACTAGACTATAGACTAGACTATAGACTAGACTATAGACTAGACTATAGACTAGACTATAGACTAGACTATAGACTAGACTATAGACTAGACTATAGACTAGACTATAGACTAGACTATAGACTAGACTATAGACTAGACTATAGACTAGACTATAGACTAGACTATAGACTAGACTATAGACTAGACTATAGACTAGACTATAGACTAGACTATAGACTAGACTATAGACTAGACTATAGACTAGACTATAGACTAGACTATAGACTAGACTATAGACTAGACTATAGACTAGACTATAGACTAGACTATAGACTAGACTATAGACTAGACTATAGACTAGACTATAGACTAGACTATAGACTAGACTATAGACTAGACTATAGACTAGACTATAGACTAGACTATAGACTAGACTATAGACTAGACTATAGACTAGACTATAGACTAGACTAACTATAGACTAGACTATAGACTAGACTATAGACTAGACTATAGACTAGACTATAGACTAGACTATAGACTAGACTATAGACTAGACTATAGACTAGACTATAGACTAGACTATAGACTAGACTATAGACTAGACTATAGACTAGACTAGACTATAGACTAGACTATAGACTAGACTATAGACTAGACTATAGACTAGACTATAGACTAGACTATAGACTAGACTATAGACTAGACTATAGACTAGACTATAGACTAGACTATAGACTAGACTATAGACTAGACTATAGACTAGACTATAGACTAGACTATAGACTAGACTATAGACTAGACTATAGACTAGACTATAGACTAGACTATAGACTAGACTATAGACTAGACTATAGACTATAGACTAGACTATAGACTAGACTATAGACTAGACTATAGACTAGACTATAGACTAGACTATAGACTACACTATAGACTACACTATAGACTACACTATAGCCTAGACTATAGGCTAGACTATAGACTAGTTTTAAATTATTTTACTTACCGCTTTACAACTGTTGGTAAGTTCTCCATAAATGTATAGTCACCATTTGTAGTATAAGTAATCGATTCTCCACAGCCCATTTCCATACTACGGACGACCACGTATATAATTTCTGATCAACCAATATTGACCATACTGTAACTTTTCCATGTGCAACGGTGTATCACGACAATTTAAAATATTTTTCAGTTTAGTTTTTAAAGGCAACTCGGTGCTTTTAGGCTGAGTAGTAGACGGACTCTGCACTTTTATATAAGTTTTATCTTGTATCAACACTTCTTGCGACTGATGCTGTTCAAGCGGTGTGATAACTGGTGCAGGTATGTAATTAATCCCTGAATTTTGATAGGATTGTAGAAAGGCTACACAAAATAGTGCTATTAACGTTATGAAGCTAATAATCTCTAGATGTTTGCGACGCAGTAAGGAGCGCATCTGAGTTTGGGAAATCTTACGGAAGGACATTTTTATGTTGATTGGTTATGATTATCACAGTAGAACTTTGATCGAATTTTTGTTTTTTAGTTATAGTTTTATTATAAGTTACTATTTTACATGATCGTGTATTATTTTATTATTTGTTTGATCGCGTGTTCCTTTTCAAATAAACTGCAATTTTCAACCAATTTTAAAATTATTATTACATTTCACTATTTGTTGTTAATTTGAATACTTTTAGTTTAATTTTGCTAAATTACACGTACAAAATATTTCTTAGAATTTTTATTTATTAAAAATTGTTTATTATTTTTTTTTTTTTTCACCACTTTATTTTATTTAAAAAATGTTTTTTTATAATTTTTATTTATTTCAAAAGGTTATTTATGCCGCTTTTCTCTTATTTATTCTAACACTTTGTATGAAGTGTGTTCCCAGTTTCAGCGATCATTTAATACTAAATATTGAATTTTCTAAACATGCACAATTGTTGAAATAATATGCCCAATACTTTTGATTTTAAAAGAATTATTCTACAAATGCTAATGTTCATTATTTTTTGTGATAATGAACCTGATCATGATGTTTGGTATTGTATTGTATTGTATTGTATAAACACTAAAAACTTAATTATGTTGTACAAAATTGTTCTTGTGGTTTTTCTTTTTTTAAAAAACAAATAAACATTAAACACGTGTGCAATCTTGCACATTTGCACAAATGGCTATCTGTATTATTTAGAAGTTTATATTAATTAAAAATTGTCCTATTTAAATAAAATTTCACATGTGTCAATATAATCTAATATTGTCCAGACAAGACTCTATAGACCAGACTATAGACCATAATAAAGGTAATATTATAATTCAGAATATAGACTAGACTACAGTTCAGAATATAGATTAGAATGTAGTACAAACTATAGAATAAACTACAGCCCAGACTATAGAATATGTCCAGACTATAGAATAAACTATAGTCCAGACTATAGAATAAACTATAGTCCAGACTATAGAACAGGCTATAGTTCAGACTATAGAATAGGCTATAGTCCAAACTATAAAATAGAATATAATTCAAACTATAGAATAGGCTACAGTACAGACTATAGTCCACACTATTGTTCAGATTATAGAATAGACTTTAGTCCAGACTATAAATTAGAATATAGTCCAGACTAGAAGAATAAGCTACAGTCCAAATTATAGAATATACTATAGTATATACAAAGTCCACACAATAGTCAATACTATAGAGTGGAGTCTAGTCTAGTCTATAGTCTAGTCTATAGTCTAGTCTATAGTCTAGTCTATAGTCTAGTCTATAGTCTAGTCTATAGTCTAGTCTATAGTCTAGTCTATAGTCTAGTCTATAGTCTAGTCTATAGTCTAGTCTATAGTCTAGTCTATAGTCTAGTCTATAGTCTAGTCTATAGTCTAGTCTATAGTCTAGTCTATAGTCTAGTCTATAGTCTAGTCTATAGTCTAGTCTATAGTCTAGTCTATAGTCTAGTCTATAGTCTAGTCTATAGTCTAGTCTATAGTCTAGTCTATAGTCTAGTCTATAGTCTAGTCTATAGTCTAGTCTATAGTCTAGTCTATAGTCTAGTCTATAGTCTAGTCTATAGTCTAGTCTATAAATAAACTACAGCCCAGACTATAGAATATGTCCAGACTATAGAATAAACTATAGTCCAGACTATAGAATAAACTATAGTCCAGACTATAGAATAAACTATAGTCCAGACTATAGAACAGGCTATAGTTCAGACTATAGAATAGGCTATAGTCCAAACTATAAAATAGAATATAATTCAAACTATAGAATAGGCTACAGTACAGACTATAGTCCACACTATTGTTCAGATTATAGAATAGACTTTAGTCCAGACTATAAATTAGAATATAGTCCAGACTAGAAGAATAAGCTACAGTCCAAATTATAGAATATACTATAGTATATACAAAGTCCACACAATAGTCAATACTATAGAGTGGAGTCTAGTCTAGTCTATAGTCTAGTCTATAGTCTAGTCTATAGTCTAGTCTATAGTCTAGTCTATAGTCTAGTCTATAGTCTAGTCTAGTCTAGTCTATAGTCTAGTCTATAGTCTAGTCTATAGTCTAGTCTATAGTCTAGTCTATAGTCTAGTCTATAGTCTAGTCTATAGTCTAGTCTATAGTCTAGTCTATAGTCTAGTCTATAGTCTAGTCTATAGTCTAGTCTATAGTCTAGTCTATAGTCTAGTCTATAGTCTAGTCTATAGTCTAGTCTATAGTCTAGTCTATAGTCTAGTCTATAGTCTAGTCTATAGTCTAGTCTATAGTCTAGTCTATAGTCTAGTCTATAGTCTAGTCTATAGTCTAGTCTATAGTCTAGTCTATAGTCTAGTCTATAGTCTAGTCTATAGTCCAGTCTATAGTCTAGTCTATAGTCTAGTCTATAGTCTAGTCTATAGTCTAGTCTATAGTCTAGTCTATAGTCTAGTCTATAGTCTAGTCTATAGTCTAGTCTATAGTCTAGTCTATAGTCTAGTCTATAGTCTAGTCTATAGTCTAGTCTATAGTCTAGTCTATAGTCTAGTCTATAGTCTAGTCTAGTCTAGTCTATAGTCTAGTCTATAGTCTAGTCTATAGTCTAGTCTATAGTCTAGTCTATAGTCTAGTCTATAGTCTAGTCTATAGTCTAGTCTATAGTCTAGTCTATAGTCTAGTCTATAGTCTAGTCTATAGTCTAGTCTATAGTCTAGTCTATAGTCTAGTCTATAGTCTAGTCTAGTCTAGTCTATAGTCTAGTCTAGTCTAGTCTATAGTCTAGTCTATAGTCTAGTCTATAGTCTAGTCTATAGTCTAGTCTATAGTCTAGTCTATAGTCTAGTCTATAGTCTAGTCTATAGTCTAGTCTATAGTCTAGTCTATAGTCTAGTCTATAGTCTAGTCTATAGTCTAGTCTATAGTCTAGTCTATAGTCTAGTCTATAGTCTAGTCTATAGTCTAGTCTATAGTCTAGTCTATAGTCTAGTCTATAGTCTAGTCTATAGTCTAGTCTATAGTCTAGTCTATAGTCTAGTCTATAGTCTAGTCTATAGTCTAGTCTATAGTCTAGTCTATAGTCTAGTCTATAGTCTAGTCTATAGTCTAGTCTATAGTCTAGTCTATAGTCTAGTCTATAGTCTGTCTATAGTCTAGTCTATAGTCTAGTCTATAGTCTAGTCTATAGTCTAGTCTATAGTCTAGTCTATAGTCTAGTCTATAGTCTAGTCTATAGTCTAGTCTATAGTCTAGTCTATAGTCTAGTCTATAGTCTAGTCTATAGTCTAGTCTATAGTCTAGTCTATAGTCTAGTCTATAGTCTAGTCTATAGTCTAGTCTATAGTCTAGTCTATAGTCTAGTCTATAGTCTAGTCTATAGTCTAGTCTATAGTCTAGTCTATAGTCTAGTCTATAGTCTAGTCTATAGTCTAGTCTATAGTCTAGTCTATAGTCTAGTCTATAGTCTAGTCTATAGTCTAGTCATAGTCTAGTCTATAGTCTAGTCTATAGTCTAGTCTATAGTCTAGTCTATAGTCTAGTCTATAGTCTAGTCTATAGTCTAGTCTATAGTCTAGTCTATAGTCTAGTCTATAGTCTAGTCTATAGTCTAGTCTATAGTCTAGTCTATAGTCTAGTCTATAGTCTAGTCTATAGTCTAGTCTAGTCTATAGTCTAGTCTATAGTCTAGTCTATAGTCTAGTCTATAGTCTAGTCTATAGTCTAGGTCTATAGTCTAGTCTATAGTCTAGTCTATAGTCTAGTCTATAGTCTAGTCTATAGTCTAGTCTATAGTCTAGTCTATAGTCTAGTCTATAGTCTAGTCTAGTCTATAGTCTAGTCTATAGTCTAGTCTATAGTCTAGTCTATAGTCTAGTCTATAGTCTAGTCTATAGTCTAGTCTATAGTCTATAGTCAGTCTATAGTCTAGTCTATAGTCTAGTCTATAGTCTAGTCTATAGTCTAGTCTATAGTCTAGTCTATAGTCTAGTCTATAGTCTAGTCTATAGTCTAGTCTATAGTCTAGTCTATAGTCTAGTCTATAGTCTAGTCTATAGTCTAGTCTATAGTCTAGTCTATGGTTAGTATATCCGAATTATTTAACATTTCAGTTTTTAATAAGTTTCGACTCACATCAAATTGTTGAATCCTTTTTTTGTTTTAACTTTTATAACTTAGTTTTATTAAAAAACAATATTTATATAATAAAAAAATTGAAACTATTTTCAAAACTTTCCAATAACTTCTTAAATACTAGAGCAGCACTGTTTCACTGTCACTGTTAAGTTCTTTGACATCCGATGTCAATGATGTTATAAAATATGAAAAATCTTCTGCCAGCAAGTAAATTCTAATGAATTTTATATTGTTTTCGTTTTTTCTAATTTTTTTTCATTAACATTTGTAAACATGTACAGCCATAGTCGTATCTATTTACACACACTGAAAATTTAAGTATTCTTCGAAATAAAACAACATTTTGGTACTTTAAAGATACATTTGAAGAAAAAAATGTTCATTACTACAATCCTTAAAGGGTGTAGATCACGTTCGTTAAAAAATATTACGAAGAAAGGTCCTAGTTATTGCTTAAATTCGCAAAAGTAGACCTAACCTTCAGTTTTCAAAAATATTTACACAAATTTATTATTTTTCAAAAGTATTTACACATTCCTTAAAAGCGACTAAAACTTCTATAGTCTTGGAAAAAACGTCATGGTTTTTGCTAGTCAGTTTTTGTTATTAGTTAAATTCAAATGTTCTTAAAAAAAGTCTATAAAAAGCATTCAAAATGGTGAAAATAAGGGAAATTCCCCTCGAGATGCGAACTGAAATTGTAACCAAATTTAGAATGGGTGTATCGGCGTTGGAATTAGAAAAAGAGTATGGAATATGTCGGAAAACAGTATATAATTTAGTAAAAAAGAAAAATACATACGGAAGTCTTCAAAATAGAAGTAGAAGTGGTCGAAAAATGAGAACAAACAAAGAGGAAGATTGTTCAATTGTGAAAGTATTCGCTGAAAATCCAGATGCAAGTCCAATTAAA